TCCTGCTCTGTCTTCATAGGGTCTTACCTGCAGGCCCTCAACCATACGTGTAACCCTCCTCTGAACCCTCTCAAGGTTATGCACATCCCTCTTGAAGTGCGGCGCCCAAAACTGGATGCAGTACTACATCTGCGGCCTCACCAATGCCGCATAGAGGGGATTTATCACTTCCCTAGACCTGCTCATGATGCATCTGCTGATGCAAGAAAGAGTGCGGTTAGCCTTGCTTATTACCTCGTCACACTGGTGCCTCGTGTTCATTTTTGCGTCAACCAGGACTCCGAGATCTCTTTCCGCTGTTGTGGTGCTCAGAATGGTACCCCCCAGTCTATTGGTGTGCTGGAGATTCTTTCTCCCCAGGTGCAGGACCTTGCATTTATCCTTGTTAAATGGCATCCTATTCTGATCTGCCCATTTCCCCAGTCTGTCCGAATCTGCCTGAATTCACTCCCTGCACTCCAATGTGTTTACTATACCCTATAGTTTAGTGTCATCTGTGAATTTGGGCAAGGTGCTTTCAACACCTTCATCCAAATCGCTGATGAAGATATTAAACAGTACTGGTCCAAGGACAGAGCCTTGGGGAGCACCACTGCCCACATCCCTCCAGAGAGAAACTGACCCATCCACCACCACTCTCTGGGTATGTCCTATAAGCCAGTTTTTCACCCACCTAATTGTAAAAAAATCCACATCACAGCTACTCAGTTTGCTCGTAAGAATTGGGTGTGACGCTGTGTCAAAAGCCTTTTTAAAATCCAGGTAAATAATATCTACTTCCACTTCTGCATCTAAGCATTTTGCGACATGGTCATAAAAAAAGACCAGCTTAGTCGGGCAGGATCTGCCTGCTATAAACCCAAGCTGGTTGTCCTTTAACATTGTGTTACCTGCTGGCCCTCTGCAAATGCGATCCTTTATGATTTTTTCTAAGGTCTTGCTGAGAATAGAGGTGAGGCTGACTGGCATATGATTACCTGGGTCCTCCTTCCTCCCCTTCTTCAAGATAGGGACCACATAGGGACCTGTGCAAGAAGCAGTGGCTGCAGCAGGTCCTACTAGTGCCTGCACACCTCTGACCCAAGGTGGGTCAGTCCAGCCTGCAGCTGGAAAGGTTTCCAGCTGCTGCTTTATGCTCTTTGGCCCAAGCCCAACTCCAGAATACCAAATCCATTTATTTGTTCCTCTGCCAATCAGAGATTGGGGCCCTGTTGTGGCTACCACTGTACGTAACTGCAACAAAGAGACAGGCTCTACTCCAAAGATCTTACAGTCAATAGGCCTGTGTGAAACGGCTAGTATTCGCTTTGGATTCAGCCGATTCAGGGGACAACGATTCGATCTGGTGATTCAAATCACTTTCCTGAAAGGATTCAGCCGAATCTGATTCGCAGATTCAGCCACCACCAAATCGGCAAAATCTCCTAATCAGACAGGCCCCATCCCCTGCCCGCTTTCCCAGCCCCGTCAACGGCTGCCCAGCCTGGCCCAGCTTTTTAAAAAAAAAAAAAAAAAGCCCAGCACTCACTGGATGCTGCCAGGAGTGGGGGTGATCCCCACTGCGCCTCACTGTGTGGGGGGCTCTGTCACAAGCCCCCATCCCCCACCCACTCTC